TATCTGTCTCCTTACCTGGATTTGTAGACTATAAGATAACTTTTAATCTTCGGACTGACTGTAATAAAGTTTCTACTGACATTATATAATAATAAAAAAAAAAAAAAAAAAAAACTTTATGGTTCTTGGACATACTAAGTTTATTTGTAATTTGCATTTTGTAATAATTAAACTACAATATCATAAACATAATATTATAAGTATAGATTACGTTGAAACAATTATTAATCAACCAAAAAAAAATGGAAGTAATTTAGCTATTAGATATGATAAAAATGAAAAAATTGGATGAAATTATTATGATTTTAAAACTTTCCTTGAATCTTATTTCAATAAATACAATGGTATATGAGCATTTTAGTATTTTTATTTCTATCAGGTTAAACCTAAAAAATGTTTATATTATTAAAAGCTAATAGTGCAAAAATTGAAGCAACAATTTGTAATAATGTTTATTTTGACTTATACAAACCTTTAGACATAATTCCTTTAAAACCATTATCCTTAAAGTGGCAAACACAATTATTTAAAGAGATTTGTTCATATGTTCATGATCCCTATATATAAATTATGCTTTACTCCAAATAAGTATTAAAAATTTTTTTTTGCTTCTAATATATATATATATTATCTTTTTTTTTTCTTTTATAATTTTTCTTTTATTTCTTAGCTATTAGCTTATCATTAAATTAATATGTATTATTGTTACCTCTTAATATAGTTTTGTAGTAGTCAGTGTGATAATTACACCTTATTTTAGTATAATACTAACTATCAATCTAAATTTAGAATATAAAAACTAGCTACAATAAAAAACTGTATACTAATTTGTGTTAAATTTTATTATAATAATATATATCAAAATTTTTACCAGATATGAAGTATGTATTTGAAAATTCAACCCAATAAAAATCACAATTTCAGTTAAAACCTCTCAAAGTATAGTTTTGCTGTATACCAACCTATATATGTTTCATGAATTTTTTTATTATATTATTATCAATATATATAATCTAGAATTTTTTTACATAGTTATATATTTTAGATTTATGTTTACGTAGCATATATCCCTGATTATGTTTGATAAAAATATATATATCCATGATAAAAGAACTGAATATATCTATATTTTATATAAAAAATAGCAAATATACAATCTAAAGACAACTTGTTAAGATTGAATTATAAGCTTGTAGCCAAGATTAATAAACTTATTGTCTTTATTGTTATAAGAGAACTTTTAATAAAATTCTCATAGTAAATGTGAAAGCATAAGTCAAAAAGAAATTAACTAGATATTAATAATATACTATTGCATAAAAATAAAAAATGGCAAGGCTAGCAACTGTTTCTTTATTTATAAAAATCATTATACCCTGGTCACTATATCAAAATCGCAGAGCATAAATCAGTTATACTCTGGGCACTATGTATATAAGAGGGCTAAAAGCCTCACTTATACACATAGTATCCTGAATATAACTATTATTTATTGCCAAAATGATAATACTGTATATAAACAAAAAAATATTTTTAATACTAATAAAAAAAATATATTGCAGTTATATATACAAATTAATAATATTTAAAAAATCATTTTTTTATTTTTCTTCTAGTATTTGCATTTTCTTGAAAAGTCCCCAGTTTAGCACTAATATACTTGATTCTTAATTATATGCTGTCTACTATTTGTTGATATGAAACTTCTGGGTTTGCACAAATATTATCAAGATTAATTCTATCATTATTGATTTCTAAACATAGACCAGTTTGATTTTCTCTTTGAATTAACCTATAATTAAAGTGATAAAAAATATAAAAATACTTTGTAACTTTGATTATAGAAAACAATATACAGTAACTTACAACTCAGTAAATTCTTCTATTTTTCTTCTTAGACTTCTGCTATCAAAAAGACTATCATTCCTATTATAAATAAAAAGAGAAAGTCCATTTAGCTTATCCTGTTTAACTTCATTTAGTCTAACTGCATAAAAGTATTAATGATATTTATATCTCACTCAAAGAGTATAAAACAAATAAAAAAATTAATTACCAACTATAATCCTAATTTGTTCTTTTATTAAGGCTTTCTTCCAAAAAAATTTACAGATAAAAAAAATATATTACCTACCTATTTTACAAACAAAAATCTGCTTATTTTATACTATTTTTATTTATAAATTTGAAAACCCACTAGAAGAAACTTATAATTATATTACTTAACAGTACCAGATTCTGCCATGTGAAGCAAGTATATTTAGCTATAAGTTCCAAATATTGAAACTATTTGGCCAATTTTTTTGGTGAAACTAAACCCTTAGATTCGATGAGCCCCTTTGTAATATAAAAAAAGCCAATGATCTCAATGATTTAGAAGATGACAAAGATTCCAAGTCTTGGTAACATATGAATTTTAATAATACTACTAATAAAAAATATTGTACTTATTACTCTTCATTAGTAAAAATATATAAGCGTAAACTTTTGTTTTTTTGTTTTTTTTTTAATATTAAGGTGACCACTTAGGCCCCTGGCACTTTATTAGT